CCTACATTTATTGAAAAAATATATGCATCTTATAGAGGTATTACCAAAATGTTTCCTTTGATGACCTTATATTTATTGTCATTATTGATAAAAAGGTTAAAAAAGTTTTAAAAACTCATTTTAAAACTCCAACAATGCATTAAATGTATTTATAATATAAATTGTATCTTAATTTTTTCGCCACTGTTTGACACTACATGCAGTTTTCTACATTAGACAGTTTCAGCTAAACAATTATCGGCATTCTTGAGCTGAAGATATATTGTGTCAATTCAAAGAATACATATGGAGCAGAATAAGCCCTCATTGGCACCTACAATAATTAGACCTAATTTGTCACATGACCTGCTTTTATCTGTCCAGTGAGTGGAATATAACCTGTTTTCACCTTTCCCCTCATCACCGGCGTGCACTTGAGGGCCAATGAATTCATGTTACCCATGGCTTGGCAGTGGTGCATGTTTCCTCGCCCCAATAATATATTAATAATCAGATACTGCCACCGCATGTCTTGCTGTCGCTGTTTGCTTGTTTTTATAGTTCACGGGTCAGTGGAGTGGCATTTGGTGCATGTCCCCTGTGCAAGTCATGTCTGTACTAACTAGCTAGTTGTGACCACTGTGAGGCCGTGTCGGTGACGAGCCGCTTTCATAATCTTGACTATGTAGGCTAAGTGACAGGCATGATAGGGAAATGCTTATGCAAAACTGCGTATGAATAATGGATGAACTCATATCAATTCACAGATCACATGACCATGGCATAAGCAAACATATTGTCCTTGTCTGTTTGATGAGAGTGGAAGGTCACCAGAGGAGGGGGAAAGGGAAAAAAAAGCAGAAAAGAGAGACGGCACATGAGAAAAGTGAGTTTATCTAAAGAGGAGGTCATGAGAACTAAATAGTAGCACAACAATCAATGCTATCTAAGCATATGCAAAACAATAAATGATGCCATCAAATGCATGAGCATTTAAAATGCGACACATGCTCATTCACTTCAAACGCGGCAGGTGCAGAACTGTCCGTTTTTCTCATTGGCTCTTTTATTTTCTTTCTGTTTGAAATGGGCCTGAACCTGTTCATTAATTTAGTTAAATGAGGTGAGAAAGTTGTTTTCGAGATGGGTGGGGGGGTTGGGCGATCATGAAAGCATTTCCTGTGATTTTGTTGATGTGCAGATCAGGTCCACCAACCCTGACTGCAAGCAGCTACTGGGTCAATGACCACAATCCCGCTCAGAGTCTTTCCTGTACTCCATTTACTTTGGGCCTCAAGGGGCTAATGTTTAGTGACATTGCCAGTTATGCTCAAATCACTGAAGTTCGAACTGTATGCCTGGATAGATTTAGTGTTAAAGCTGATATTTTGTTATGCATAAACCTAAAATGAAGAATCGCCTGATTTTAAGCTGCCCATTATGCACTAAAAGAGCAGATGGGACCAGCATCTCCAGACCAGCACATATCAATATCGCCATCTTTGTGCTAGAAAATCTCGCAAGATACCTTCACAGGCAGTTGTCTGTTAAAAGCACATATCTGAATTGTTGCTTAACCCAACCAGTGACCCTGCCACTTGCAATCTCCCCCCCCTCTGCCCAGATTCACCAGTGCACGATCCCCCTCGGAGGCAGGCGATACAGGGTGTGTCAAAAAGGGCCACCAGAACCAAACAAGAAACCAGTGATTCACAAATCCGAAGGCTCGCTCCGTGGCTGCTTACTCATCTGTTAAAAACAGAGTGATCTGGAAAGTTTGTATGGGAGGCCTTTTGACAGAGCCCTGCTGCTCTGTCAGTGCAGCACATGCTCTAGGCACTGGCATCCCCTATTGCCTTCCAGGTCATTGGGTAGCCGCAGAGGGGGGTCTGCCCCAAGCCCCATGACAAGCCTCTGATTCGCAGCTGGATCCGTAACAAGGTATCATAGTAAATGAGTCGGTAAAACATCACTGAACTGAGGAGCGTGACAAATTGCCATGATATCATTTGTAATACTTAATGTGAATTGCGGAAGAAGGCGGTACAGTTCGAAGGGACTCTCTACCTCATCCAAAACTGAGATTATTCCTAATGCGAGAAGGCAACGCATAAATAGTCTCGGCATCGTGATTTTACAGGTTGTAGGTGTTATGACCGTGACATGGGTTGTTTGTGACATGTTGCCCTGGTTTAAATTTGGGTTGGGCTCTTCATTATAAATGAACAGTGATAATGTCACAAATTGCTGCTGTCTTGAGTTAGGTCTTTACCGCTGCATAGCACAGCACCGTTTTGGCAGGTTTCAGAACCTCCTTACCCTACAAACCCCAGAAACATAACTTTGAAAGTCTCATTTGCTGTTGCTTGCCAGTTTAAAAAAAAAATCATTTTTTTTACCTTTCCTCAAATTTGTAAAATATTCAATTTTGTTTTTATCTGTTAAGTTATATCAAGAAAATACCTTTCTTTTGTTTATTTTGTGCTTCTGACAGATTGTTTAATCATTGTTGTGTTAAAACCATTGTATTTTAATTTACTGAATTTTGTTTTGATATCATTATTAATCATAAAATAAATCACACACACACACACACACACACACACACACACGCACACACACACACACACACACACACACACACATATATATATATATATACTGTATATATATATATATATATATATATATATATATATATATATGTATACATATACATATTCTCATACAGGTATTATTTTAACATTAACTTGCATGTGTGTCTGAAAAAGTTATAATTAAAATAAATGTTCCTGGAAATCACAATGGATATCTTAGATCTAAATGTCATGGTTTCATACCAAATCCAGTGACATTTCTGTGATGGGATGTACCCCTGGGTGAACATCGCCAACTCTGGCAGAGCATTGATGGCACTGAAGCTTTGTGATTTGCATTTGTTAGGCTCCATAAAATACATACTTAAATTCATTTTTATCATGTATTAAATTAATTTTTTATGTCTGTTGTATCACTTACTCATTCGTGTTTCTTTAATAACATCAAAGACGAATAGCCAACTAACTTTTATGAACTAAACAGAATTGCAAGCACAATAAATAAATCAAAACCGATATACTAGAATTCAAAGTATGAAATGGCAGAGTTAGATTGTGATTTTCCATCCATCCATAATCTCCAGCTTGAGACTTGGCACTATTTCAAGATTTCCAATCAACAGACATCCAAGACACCAAACCCTGCTGATTCATTGTCCATTTGTACCAGTGTAGACCAAAAAGAACAAAGGCGGACAAGAGTTAATATGTATTCGATATATTCTTACATCAAATCATAACATTCAGCCATTATCCACTTTTCATGATTTACATTGGCATCAAATAATGCTGGTGCTGCTGTTTTAGATTTGGAATAGAAAGTGAAATAAATGGTCTGATTTATGATTTTGCCCTGTGCATATCTGAGCGACTTTCATCAGACGGCACAGACCCCCTTTTTGGGACAACCGAACTCTGGCTTCTTTCGGGGGCTCTGTGGTTCCTAGGGGAGACCAGAATAGAAGTCGTGGATCTTGCTGTGATCCAAAGAAAGTGTGCCAAATGCTATCAAAACTGGATTAACAGACGACCATTGAGTTTGATGAGAGGCACTGGGCAAGAAAAAGGGAGTTTCCAAGGAACCCATCAATGGAATTTCAACCTATATGCAATATGTTGATTATGATTTCCCATTCTACACCTGTTATGATGTGATATTGTAGACTATTTAGTTGGTATGATCGTTACATTACTGTTCTGTCCTTCTATGCAATTTATTTCATTGTGTTAGCATCAAATTAATTAATAAGTGTAGTAGTATAGATTCTATATGTGAGGTATAGGCCTATCTTCCCTGACATTAAAAATAGACAATTTTAAGTTGTCCAAATATAGTTTAATATTTGAAAATCCTGACATGGTTTGCTCACTTATTTTAGATTCGTATGAAGGACTGTGCCACAGTTGTTGTTGTTTTCTTTTGGTATTTTTTTGGCACTTACAGCGTTCCTCTCCTGCAAGCAATGCTGTTCACAACCATCACATATACTGTACTGTATATAGTCAGAGAAAGGTTTTTTGAAACCTGACATTTCCTCAGAGTCCCCTGCTGACTTAATCATGGCAAATATTGCGTGTCATTTGTTTGCCACGCATGGACCTGGCTGATGGTAGTAGTAGTAATTCACCACCGCTGTGCGCTGGTTCCTGGAGTGCTCTCCAGTCATGGTGTCGTGCACGTCAGCGCATAGACATGACAACCAGGATCATCACCAAACTGAGACTATGCTTGGACGGAATAACAGCTTAACTCGGTATACACGACATGCTAAAAAAAAGTTTTAACAGTAGTGTGCTAAATTGTTGTCATGTAATATGTATTAAATTTAGTGAGTGACATTCTATTATAAAAATTTTAATAAAAAAAATATATATTTTGAATTGAAATCCAGTTCTGGGTTAAAAAAAAATGCAACTCAGTGAGTTTAGGTAATGAGTCAAGTTAAAATTCAAGTTTGATTTTACTTTATGCACCACATTGTATATGGAAGCCCAGTTTAATGAATTGCATTGTGGTATAATCCCACACATTGTGTTCTGGATTAATCCTGTGCATTAGTTGCATAATGTAGTAAGTCATGTATATATTTTATTTACCATAATGTGCACAGTGTATACTGTAGATTGCAGCAATAATATCAGCAGTATTTCCTGAACATTGTCTCCAAACATACATTAACTTCTAGTCTAGACATGATAATATAGATCACATTAAAAGGTGGACAAAATTAATATAAAAGGCTGAGTAAATATTCAACAAGAAAAAGAAAAAAAGGAACATTATAGGGATATTTATGAATGCATTTGCCTGCCACTTTAAATCAGAAAAGGGCGGTTCTTATGTAGGCACCCATTTTTCTCTGGCCAATCAAAATCCTTACTTTAACACATGACGACGCAGGCAGCCAATAGGAGTACCTCATGTGAGGAAGCCGAAGACATGGCGCTGCGCTTAGGACGTGCTGCTCACAGAAGAGGATCTGTGCTGTAAGTTTGAACTAGCAGGAGATTTCTCTCCTCTTTACATTATACGTTGTGTGTTAATGACACTGTTCGGTTTTGCATTAATAATTCATGACAAGCGGAGAAAATTAAAGGAGAACATGACAAAACTGCTATTTTATGAGTATGACATTGACACCTTTTTGGATGCTTTCTTTTACAAGAAAAACAGTTTGTCTGTTTCTTTCTGATGAATTGTTTCTGCCATAAAACGCCTAACGTCTAAGTTAATAATCCTCCATGTGTCTCGTTTGCTCATGTCTTACCAGATATGTGAATTGGTTGGTGAAAGCAGAGGTTTATTATTGTTCAAAACTATTGGTCAATTAGACGGACTGTTTCCTAATCAGACATGCAGAATGGAAACTCTATCCCTATTTCGAATAGTGCGTTATCAAAAGGTAAACGTGATTTCACCAAGTACCATGTTCCTGGATCAACATCTTTCCAATCAACCAATCCGATTTAAGGGATAATTTTACAGTTTATGTCAAGTTTAGGCTTAGAAGGGTGAAGTAATGTTACTTAAGCATCAGCGCTGCTATTCACCTTTCATTACCCTCTGATTTTAGGGAAAAGTTATGAGGGATTGGGTAAGGACTACATTTTTGGACAGGAATCCAGGATTAACAAAATATGTTGATCCAGGACCATGTCTTACTTTGCAAAATCCAAAGCAAATATTGTTTTGAGTTGAAATTATTCTATAGCTATGTAAGAAGAAATAGACAGTAAGGTGTCGAGTAGCGCTTAGTTTGCTAATACACCTGTCATCTGTTCATGATCTGCCTGTAACTTATCCTGTTTAATACACAACTATTTAAAATAATAGATAAATACATGGGCATGCCATACTGATTCTAGATTACCTGACTATGCCTTTATTGCAATTTACATTCAAACTGTTTTAAGTCTCTCAAATCACTGTAATAAAAAAGCAATTATAAGAAAATGAGAATGCATGAAATTGATTAAGATAGTGTTACAAAAGTTTTCTATTTGAAAATGCTGTTCTTTTGAAATTTCTATTCATCAAAGTAGAATTAAAAAAAAATGTATCATGGTTTCCACAAAAATATTAAGCAGCACACTTGTTTTCAACGATAATAATGAGACATTTTTCTTGAGCAGCAAATCAGCATATTAGAATATTTTCTGAAGGATCATTTGACACTGACCAGTGGCTGCTGAAGCTTTGCATCACAATAGTAAATTACATAAATAATAAATTACAGGAATAAATTACAAAAATATATTACAACATTATTGTTCATCACTGTTTTTACTGCATTCCTGATCAAATAAATGTAGCATTGGTAAGCATATGAGACTTCTTTCATGCACATTAAAAAAAAAATCTTACAGACAGACCCCAAACCTTTGAACAATAAGCTATTTGCATAAAAAAATAAAAATGTATTACACAGCTCTCTCTTTAATATACTGTACTTAAAATAATGAATTATTCTAGAACTTTTTTTTAACCATTTATATATCTTTATCGGAGTTACCTGTGGTTAATTCAATAGAATGTGCAGCATTATCATTGAATGCATTTATTTATTTGGTTGTAAGACACTTTTCAACATGTAAATACAGTCTTAGTTTAAAATCTCTGAAAATGAAAAAAAAAAACATGCTTAAATGTTATTTTGATAGAGTGTGTTCGCCATTCTTCAGACGCGATGAGTTAAATTACATTACATTTTCTATGCTTAAGAATAAAAATAAAAGGTACGACAAGCTTGTCTTTGTTATTTTAAACAACCAGTCAAAATCACTAAAGCAAATTAGTACTGTATTTCTACATGGTACATCTGTGTCTAATTCCTCTTGAGAGACTTTAATGAGGGACTTCAAACAGTTTAAATGTCAATTACAAAGAAGGCATGGTTTTAAGGTCCCAGTAATCTGTCCATATTGGGCATTGGTCATCAGGACATGGTGCCAGGTGGCTGTAATTCATAGCAGATGAATTTCCAGAGGCGCTCCACTGATGGGCCAGCTAATGTACAGTGTGAACTGTGACTGTCACGCCAGGGTTTGTCATATTTGCAGTTATTATGTGAATATGTGGTGCGTCCAATGATAGTTTCGGTGCCTGAGGTCATCCAGGAGGATGTGTTTAACTCTGTTAATTAAACCAGCAGTTCATGTTTGTTATCCCTTGAAGACAAATCCATTTGTTCAGCTTCTCTAAAGGAATGCATTTCTCACACGTTCGCTGTTAAATTAATTTGCCTGAGCACACATATATAGGATCTGGATTATCATCAACTTCCCATTTGTTTAATAACTGTGGGAGTTGATGTGAGTGTTTTTTTTTTTTTTTTTCTCCTTCCACAAAAGCCACAAAGCAAACTGAGTTGGCTTGGAAGGAAATTTGAACACATGGCTAACTGCACAGGCTGGACCCAATTCCAAGGGCCGTGAGCGTGTGTGTGTGTTTTATGGAGAGCCGAGAGCCACTGGCTTGGAAGCAGACTGGTATATGTCACAAACACCCTCATGTCAAAGATGCAACAGCATCGCAGTGGAAACATGGATTGACACTATGAACTCGACAAGTGATGAAAGTAGCCTAGAGCTTGTCAATTACACTTCCCTAGCCTGGACCCTATAAGTTAATGGGCAGCTTCCCCTTTTGAGGCCTGCCAAGGCTTTATAGTACTGGTTATAAAACCATGAAGTGTAATGTGCTACTATAACTTTTTCAATTAGGAGCAACTGTGCAAATGCCCTCGGATACCTGGAAGCGCTGGAAAGTGATTTTAGAGGGTTTTGTTAGCATAAATCAAAGGTGCCGTTCTAGATGCCTTCATTTAGGAAACATTTTTAATGAACTTCTCTTCGGGAATCCAAGCTTGATGGGTTTTTGCTTATATAATAAGATTTTCACTATTATTAAACGCTAAATGCCATTCCTTAAAATATCCCACTGTGCCCATCGCCATCAAGTTAATTGTTCATATTATTTGCTTTTAAACTACTGGATCAAATATACGTCTTTGTCCCGAGTTAGAATTTTATATCAACTGCGTTGGCAGCGCATGAAAGGGATAAATTAGGTTGTTGTTGTTTCCTGTTCTAATATTCCTTGTGTGTGTGTGTGTGTGTGTGTGTGTGGAAGGACTGTGACATTTCCGAACAAAGTCAACAGGACAGGACAGATCATTTTAAATGTTCAAAGACGTCGGTCCCCCCTCATCTGGTGCCTTTTAGTGTAGGTGCAGCCTTTGGCATCCCATAGAAAAATAAATGAGTGCTGAGTAAATAGTGATGTGTTGACAACTCATTTCCACATTGATTGGTGCCGGTAACAGGAGCAGAGGTGTGTGGCCTTAATCCAATTACGAAGGAAAACCAGAGCCACACTGTAACGAAATTCTGACTATACAGAGAACCGAGTAACCGAAATGTGGGTTAACCGGCTGACCCAGTGTGATCAAAGCAAGCCTGAGGTTGTTTTACTGTGGAATAAGTATAAGCTGTATTTATTTATGCCGCTCCCTCATAAAGTGTGTGAGGTTGGGAGACGTGTTTATTTGTCTCTGCACTTCACGTATAACCAGAAAAAAAAGAAAAAAAACAGATATCGGTTTTGCGTCCGTCTTGCTCTCGCATTTCAGATCAGTGCGTCAATATATCGGTCTATTACCTGTTGTTGACCCCCCTAAATTGGGCCTTTGAAATTTGTTACAGAGCATTAACTTAACACATGTTCTGGGGGAAAACAAAGGGGAGGTAACAGGATTGGGAGCCAGCTGAGTAAACTGAATGTTAGAGGGATGGCAGTTCGGAGCAGCGTTCTTGTCCCGGAGGTAACTGAGAAGGTCCATACGGCCAACAGATGGAGATTTGTGCTCTGAGTCCCCACCGACCCAAACAAGTGCCTCTGCTCTTGCATTAAATGCTTTGATCAACGGAGGGTCTCGGCCAGAGAGCGGCTCCTCAGATAGGCCGTGGACTCGCATCTGTATAAACATGGCCTTTCAGGAATGTGTGAACAATGCAACAATAGAATCTTGTTCTTGAGCCAGACCCCTGGACTCATGCGGTTCACCGATCGAGCTTGTGCTCGGATTGAATTAACAGTTTTGGGAATATTCACTGTTTTCAGACATAACAGCGATGGGATGTTGAAACTTTGCCTTTGATTCACACGAGTTTAAACGTGTGTGAGTGACACGAAAATGATGAGAACCATAGAGCCAGTTTGCTACAATTTAAATTCGTTTGACTTGGATGCATAATTAACGTGTTTTCTCCCAAAAAATAGAAAAAAATGCAGTATTTTTTCAACAAAAAAAAAAACAGCTCTTAAAATTTGGTGTTCCACAACTTTGTTGTGTGCGTGACTAAACCGAACAGAACAATTATTTGCAAACGTTTACGTAGAGACCACTGAGTCACTGCTTGCATCAGGTGAACTGACTGCAGTGTGAGGTGTGTGCGTTGGCTTGCATGATCTCCTGCCACAGCGTCTGCCACGCTTAGTTCATCATACTCCAGGCAGAGGTCTGGAGAGACACCTGGACTGGGAGAGCCAAGCTGTGCCAAGATCAACCGTAATCAACATGCATTTTCTGTCTTATACATCAGTTTTTGGATGGCAGCTGAAGGAATTTTTGTAGTGGTTTAGATGCTCAGGTTTGTGGAAGCAGTTCTCTCCAAGTCCCCACGGTGTCAGTGTTTGCAACGTTTGATTATTGCCCTTTGGTCACGCACCAGGTAGGCAGTGCAGGGCCTGAAAGTCAATGAAAAGTTTCAGGTTCCTATTTTATTGACACAAATACACTTATATTCTTTACTTGTATTTGTTTTTTCAGTATATGTGTATTTTTTTGTTTATTTAAAAATAAATTGTTGTTATATCATTTATTATTAGAAATTATATAGCAATAAAATACCCATTTATAGCAATAGCCGAATAATAAAAACATATTAGGTTAATATTTGGAAATAGCATTAACCTCATGATTAAT